AAATGAGCCCCCTGGAGCTTGGTTCCTCCCCGCCTCAGCCCCCACCCCGGCCCACCTGAGGGCGAGCTGAAGGCGGGCAGCAGGCGAGCGCCCAGCTCAGCCGCCTTCTCAGCCAGGCGGCGGGAAAGAGCCGGGTGGGAGGCGGCGCTGAGCGCCTGCGCCGACAGCAGGCCGCCCAGAATGCGGATGGTGGTCTCAAACAGGTTGACCGCGGCAGGGGCCCCCACGTCCAGCTGGTCAACCACCCACCTGCAGGCGGGGCCAGGCGGCGGGCGTGACGCTGCAGGCCCAGACGCAGTCGACACCGAGCAGGCAGCACGCCCAGGGTGCAGCGCCAACCCCGGCCTCACGCTCGTCGCACAAGAACATTAACGGCCCCGCAAAGCTTAAAGAGCTAAGGGGGGCACATGGGCACCTGCTGGCACATCAGCGCCCCGACTGCTGGCGCCCTGCCGCCGTGGCATGCAGCACCGCCATGGCATGCAGTACTCGCTCCCTCCCTCACCCTGCCGCCTCCTCAAACTCCTGCCGCATGCCCAGCAGGTGCAGCGTGTCCAGGGAGTCGACCATGGTGAGGGAGAGGTTGAGCCAGTGCACCCCCGTGCAGCTCAGCGGCTGCAGCTCATCCTCGCCCCACGCGCACGCCCTGCGGCGGCAGGCAAGGCGGCGGCGGACGTGGAGGCAGGCACAGCACAAGCGTGCACGCAGCGCTGAGCAGGACGCCTCTGCGAGTGGGTGCCGCTGCTGCCGCCGCGAGGCGTCGCTTTGGAAGCAGGGGTGCCCTGCTTGCCTGCCCCCGCCTACGACGGCAGCGCACCTGTAGCCGTCCCAGGCATGCCTGGCGGCCTGCTGCACCGCAGCGGCACGGTCGGCGGCAGAGGTGAGGCAGGCCAGCGGGTCGGGAGGACCCACCCCCTCGTTGCCATTGGCGCCATCGGCCCCGCCACTGCAGGCCACGTGCTGGCCCTCGCAGATGCCTGATAGCCGGCAGCGGACGCTGTCGTCCTGGGGGCCTTGCAGTGCTGCCGCCGGTGCCTGCGGCTGCTCGCTGGCCGCCGCCGCCTCGTGCTGGTGCTGCTCTTGCACGTCTGCCGGCTCCGCCTCGTGCTCCTGGTGCGTGCCTTGATCGGTTGAGCCGCCGGCCTGCTTCGGAGCTTCACTGCTCCGGGCCGACAACAGCAGGGTCGCCAGCAGCAGGGCAGCAAGCAGCACTGCGGCCAGGCGATGAGCAGATTGAAAGGTATCAGTTGCAGACCTGGCAAGGGACGCTAGAGACATCGTTTGGGCCTACCTGCCCAACGCCGCATCCCCGCTCAGGCTCACTTCCCCAGCATTCCCTATGCAATGACGCTAACGGGCGGAACGACAGTTATGTGCTGATCGAGCCGTTAGCAACAGAAATGACAGCAAGGGCGGCACGCTCTGCTCCCGCTCTGCCGCCAAGGTGGCCGCCTGGCTGCATTGTGCGGGGAGCTTGAACGCATGTGGAAAAATCGCACGGTGGTTACAGAGTGACGGGTAGAGATAGGTTTACGCAGCAACAGGGCACAGGGCGGCAGCTAATCGCTGTCGGCCACCCCCCGTCGCTGCACGTCAGCTGGCCAGCCATCCGCTCCCGCCGTGCTGGCTGTGAGCCGCAAAGCTCAGACGATGCCGGCATAGGGCAGGCACTTGCGGATCAGGTTCTTGTGGGACTCACTGGCAGACACCATCTTGCTGCAAGCAGGAGTGGGGCACAAACCAAGGGCAGGTGGGCGGCGGCAACACAGCACCGCACAGAGCACTCCATGCCGCCGACCAACTGCTGCATGGCATGGCGCGGCGCAGCAAGATCGCCCAGTGCATCCCTGCCACCGTGCAGCCAGCCCCAGCGACTCACCCGAGGTTGCGCTTTGTCTTGGCGCTCTGCTTCTCGTTCAGGTGCTGCTTGCCGGCGCGGCGCACGACCACCTTGCCGCTGCCGGTCACCTTGTACCGCTTGGCCGCAGCCTGCGGCAAAAACAAAACAAGGCGCGGGGGGGGGGGCAGCAGGGCAGGTGAGAATGCCTGGCAGGAGGAATGCCCGCAGGTGGCAGGGGCACGGAAGGGCGGGGCCGGAGGGTGCTTGGTGGAGCTGCCTGCTCCGCCAGCTGGGGCAGCCCGCTGCTGTGTCGCCACACTTCCTCTAGACCTGCTGCTGCTGCTGCTGCCAGCGCACACCTTGCGGGTCTTCAGCTTCATGCCGCGTGGCCCGTCGGCGCACACCACCTGGAGCGCCAGGGCGGCGGGCTGCTGCTGCTGCTGCTTCTGCTGCGCGAGGACGGGCCTGGGGGCTGCTGCGATGCCGTTGGCCTTGGAGGTCAGGCCCTTCGCGGCCACAAAGGGCTTGGGAGCCTGCAAGCAGAAGGTGGGCTCGCGGTGAGGCCGGGAACCGGCGGCGACGGGCTACGCACGCTTTCAAGTGCGGCCCGGCCATTGGAGGCCACAATGTGCGTGGTTGGAGGCCCCTCTCACGGCTGGTGCGGGAGAACCACTGCACTGGGCAGGCGGCAGCGCCTCTGTTCCATGCCTGCTGCCCGCAAACGACTCCTGTGAGCACACAGATGTCTCACCCTGAGGCTCATCGCGTTCATGCGAGCACAGATGGCTTGCATGGTGCTGCGCCTTATCTGCTGCCGGGCGTCCCACTAGCCTCCACAAGCTGCAACTTCACACCTGCATGCGCTGCAAGCGCCTCATGCAGCGTGGGGGAGCCGAAATGGAAATTCGGAGGCTGAGTTGGCAGGCCAAAACTGCACAGAGAGGGACAGGCACGCCGAATTGGTTTCCCCATCGTATCCAGACGCCATGGCGGTGAGTCCCGCGCCCTGCACTGCCCGCGCCCGGTCAAAGGCGGCTATCGATCAGCCGAGCAGCACAGCAACGCCCTGTTGCCCTCCCCTGATTGGCCCTGCTCCCTGCAGATACCCAGCAACTTTACACAATCGGTGCTGCACCAGGGAGCCACCGAGGAGAAGGGCGAGAATGCGCGGCTGGTGAGTTCCCGGCCTGATTGCAGCGATCGTCTGCCGCAGGGGTGCGTGCAGTGGCTCCCAGCCCCGCCCCATCCCCCCAATTGCCTGCAGGCCAGCTTCGTGGGCGCCATGGCCATCGCCGACCTGGTGAAGAGCACGCTGGGGCCCAAGGGCATGGTGCGTGGCAGGGGGTGGCGCAGCAGCGGCTGCAATGGGGCAGGCAGGCCAGAAGCGCCGTGCCGCCGCCACCCGCCGCCGCTGCCGCCTGCCAGCACAAGGCACGCTCGGCGGCTGGCTCGTAGCCACCGTGCCGCTGCCCTCTTCGCTCCCCCACGCCGCCACCTCACCCCGCCATCCCCTGCCTGCCGCCCGCAGGACAAGATCCTGCAGAGCCTGAGCCGGGGGCGGGAGGTGACGGTGACCAACGACGGCGCCACCATCCTCAAGTCGGTCTATGTGGACAACCCAGCGGCAAAGGTGCTGGTGGACATCTCCAAGACCCAGGACGACGAGGTGGGGATGCCGCGCCCTGTGATCGGGACGCCGCTTTGCCGGGAAGCGGGGGGAGGGTGATGGGGCCCCGTGCAGGCTCCGCAACCATGGGCTGGACGGCTGGGCGCTGCTGGGGAGATGGCAACAGGCACGGCTCTGTTTGTGGCGGGTCGGCATGCCGCGTGCTGAGGCTGCTTCCGCCCTGCCTTGCTTGGGGCGCGGCAGGTGGGCGACGGCACGACGTCGGTGGTGGTGCTGGCTGGGGAGCTGCTGCGCGAGGCGGAGCTGCTGGTGAACCAGAAGATCCACCCCATGGTCATCATTGCGGGTGGGTGACTGGGGATCGCTGCGGCCACACCGGCTGGCCAGCGTGCGCTCCCGCTCGGCAGTTGTTTGGCATGCAGAGCCTTGCCCTCTGGGTGCTCTGCCTGCCAAATGCCGTGTGCGATTGGGGCGCCGCCGGCGCCAGGCCAGCGCCTCCACATGCCGCGCGCTGCGCCCTGGCCCTCCCTCGCCGTCGTCGGGCGCAGGCTTTCGCGAGGCGGCCGAGGCGGCGCGGCAGCGGCTGGTGGCGATAGCCCGCGACAACAAGGACGATGCGGAGGCATTCCGCCGGGACCTCATCAACATTGCCAAGACCACCATCAGCAGCAAGATCCTGACCCAGGGTGCGCCTGCGGCCGCAGCCTGCCGGCCACCCGCCGCTTCCATGGTCGCCGCATGGCATGAGCTGCGACGGCAGGATCCCCGCAGCCGCAGCATGGAGCAGCGCCGCTCCGCATCGCTGACCTGCGCCGCTGCTGGGTCGGCCTGCTGCTGCCTCTTCCGCCCGCCGCAGAGAAGAGACACTTTGCTGAGCTGGCGGTGGATGCGGTGCTGCGGCTCAAGGGCAGCACCAACCTGGATGCGATACAGATCATCAAGAAGCCGGGGGGGACCATCAAGGTTGTTGTGTGTGGTGGTCGCTGCGCTGGTTGTGGTTGTGGGGTGGCCGTCGGCAGCTTGTGCAGCTGCATGGTGGGAGCCGTTTGCGGGATGTGTCGGCCGGCACATTCATCAACCGCCTGCCTGTCCTGCCCGCCTGTACCGCCCCCTGCCTACGCAGGACTCCTTCCTGGACGAGGGCTTCATCCTGGACAAGCGCATCGGCGTGGGGCAGCCCAAGCGCATCGAGGGCGCCAAGATTCTGGTGGCCAACACATGTGTGTGTGTGTGTGTGTGTGTGTGTGTGTGTGTGTGTGTGTGTGTGTGTGTGTGTGGTGGTGGTGTGTGGTGGTGGTAGCCAGCACAGGTGGGTGGAAGTGCTGGTGTGTGTAGCGCCCCGGCTGCTGCTTGCGGTGACCGCTGGCTGCGCCGCCACGTCCCGCCCGCTGCCCCCATCAGCCTGCCTGCCTGCCCTCCCTGTACTGCCTGTGTACTGCCTGCCGCAGCCATGGACACCGACAAGATCAAGATCTACGGGGCGCGGGTGCGGGTGGACAGCATGACAAAGGTGCGGCGCGGCTGCGCAGGCGGCCGCAGCGGCGCTTGCTGTGGGGAGGCAGGGGCAGCTGCCGCGCTGCTGTTGTGCATGCATGTTCTGCCTGCTGCCGCAGTGCCGCATAATTTCACACACCACCCAGCTACCACGAGGCCCAACACACACACACACACACCGCCTCCCTCCCCCAGGTGGCCGACATCGAGGCGGCGGAGAAGGACAAGATGCGGGCCAAGTGCGAGGCGATCGTGGGCCACGGCATCAACGTCTTTGTCAACCGCCAGCTCATCTACAACTTCCCCGAGCAGCTGTTTGCGGATGCGGGGGTCATGGCCATCGAGCACGCCGACTTTGACGGCATCGAGCGCCTGGCGCTGGTCACGGGTGCGCTGGTGGGGTGTGGGGTGCCGGCCGTGCGGGGTGCTTTGTTTTGGCGGAGGGCTGGCCGGGGATTGTGCTGGTGGTTAAAGCAGCAGCCAGAGGGAAGCCACCCCGCATGTTCCCGGCTGCACGCCCCGCCACCGTCCCAGCAGCGCGTGCCTGCCCCGCCCCCGCGCCTGCCCCTCCCGTGCCGCCCCGCAGGCGGCGAGATCACCTCCACTTTCGACGACCCCTCCAACGTCAAGCTGGGCACGTGCGCCGTGGTTGAGGAGATGATGATTGGGGAGGACCGAATGATCCACTTCTCCGGGTGTGCTCTCAACGAGGCCTGCACCATCGTGCTGCGCGGCGCAAGTGAGTGGGGAGTGGGTGCGGCTGGGTGCCTCGGGGGTGGCTGTGGAGGGGAGGGTGGAGGGCAGCCAGGCAGCCGGCAGCTGGCGTGCGGAGGGGGAGAGAGAGGGTGCAGTGGGGGGTCAGGGAGTGGGAAGGGAAGGGCGAAAGCCTCACACACACACACACACACACACACTGCAGGCCACCACGTGCTGGATGAGGCAGAGCGGTCGCTGCACGACGCGCTGTGCGTGCTGAGTCAGACGGTGCGGGACAGCCGCGTCATCTACGGCGGAGGCTGGGCAGAGATGCAGGTGCGGTGGGCTGGGCAGGCGGGGTGGGGGCTCCGGGCTGGTTGTTGACAGCGGCGCGGCAGCGGCAGTGGTAGACACATGGCTGCTGGCGGCAGCATGAGCCTGCAGCGCTGCGGCCGTCGTGGTCGTGGAATGCTGACGTGGCACCCACCTCCCGCCCCGCCATGCACGCTGTGCCTGCAGATGGCACGCGTCATTGATGACCTGGCAGCCCGCACCCCTGGCAAGAAGAGCCTAGCCACCGCGGCCTTTGCCCGCGCCCTGCGGCAGATACCCACCATCATCTGCGACAATGCTGGTGGGTGGCTGGGGCTGGCTGTTCTGCTTCTGCCTTGACCGTCTGTCGTTTGCTGAGCGTAGAGCCGCGCAGCTTGCTCCTGCCTTGCAGCGGGCTCCTGCCCTAGCGGGTTGCACTCCCCTTCAACCTGCGATGCCCTCACTCGCCCCTGCCGTCCCACCATGCTTTCTTCCTGGTGCAGGCCTGGACTCTGCGGAGATTGTGTCCCAGATGCGGGCGGCGCATGCGGCAGACCCCGAGGCCACGTCCGCGGGCGTGGATGTGACGACGGACGGCGTGGGCGACATGCAGCAGGTAGGCAGGAGCGCCTCAGGGCAGGTGCTTGTCGCCGGCAAAAGGTCAGCCAGCCGACTGCTTCGTGCCTTCCTGCACGCCAGCTGCCCACCGGCCCATGCACGCAAGACGCACACGCTCTTTCCGCCACGCCTCCTGCACACCGCTCTTCACTTCCCTTTGACACACGCTGCCATCCCTGCAGCTGGGCATCTTCGAGGCCTTCAAGGTGAAGCATGCCGCGCTGCTGAGCGCCACCGAGGCGGCGGAGATGATTCTGCGGGTGGACGACATCATCCGGGCGGCGCCGCGGCAGCGCGAGGGCGGCATGTGAGGTGGCGGCGGCGGCGGCACTTTCATCATTCTAGCAGAAGCGGGGCTGCATGCACGCAAGCCTTACCTGACCACAGCACTTGACATGTAACAACACGAGCGCAGGGGCTGGCTAGCTTTTCTTGTATATGGGCCCAGGGGCAGGCGCCTGCGGGGCCGCCGCCAGCCGCCCAAACTCTACTCCACCATTCGGCTACCGGGGAATGGCTGCCTGCTGCGCATTCAACCAGCGTCTGTTGCATTGCATTGATGGGTCACGCGGGAGCAGCAAGTTTTTGGAGGGAGTCACCTCATGCATGGCACGTCCGGGGCGCAGGAGGCGCTTGCCCATGATTTCCCGCGTACTTTTGGACAACGCATCGCCAGTGAAGCCACCACGAGACACAAGTCACACAATAGCGCTCCGGCCCGAGCTGGGACAACAGTGCGAGGATCCTTTGCTTGTTTTCGATGCTGAACCTCTGTTCACGGCGATTTTGACAACTTCTGCAAAGCGGCATCCGCTGCAAAGGCAAGATTTGGCCCCATCTCGTTTCTCCCATCGCCACTAGCACCCCTCTGCGTCAGTGGAGGAGGTGAAGGCAGCCCTCTTGTTGCTCTGCGGTGTCGGGGCCCTGCGATACGTGTCCGAGTCTGGTCACTCGTGACTGCTGTGTTGCAGGGGAGAGACATGCGGGGCCGGCAGCGCTTGGGCCTGCTGCTACTGACAACGCTGGCCATCTGCCATACTAGGTGAACCTGAGGGGCTGAAAACACGGCGGCGGGCGCCGGTATCAGGAGCGGGCGGGTGCCGCCGCCCGCTGCCGCCGCCTTCGGCGTCGCTGCCATCTCAACGTGCTCTGGCAACGCAGCTGCGCGAGCGCTGGCTGCTGATCCCTGGGGCATGCGCTGCCTAACCGCTTACCGCTGCCTGGCCTTGTGGTCGCGCTACAGCGCCGGCCGCAGCCAGCCCGTATCCCACGCCCTGCCGCCACAGTGGGCCGCTCGTCTTCTGCTTGCCCGTGCCTGCAGGGCTGTGCTCGCAGATAGCGACGTGCAGGCGAGCATCGTGAATGGCTTCAATGCTCCCAAAAATAGGCAAGCTGGGCGGTCAGGGAGGTGCACCGGACAGGCAGCAGCAGCTGGCATCCTCTCCCACGCCGGCATCGGAGGGCCGCCGCCAAGGGAAGGTGACGCCACGCCTTCCCATGCCATGCGGCTGCCATGCGCTCCGTCCCGCCTGCAGATACACCTGGGTGGTATCCCTGCGCGCCGACGATGGCCAGGGAGACTGGCACTTTTGCATGGGTGGGTGGCGCGTTCGCTGCAGCCAATGACCGCCACTGCTGCCTTGCCCTTGCCGGCGGCCTGCCACTGCCGTGTTTGGGCCCAATTGTAGTTTTGTCCGGGCTCTGCAAGCTGTCTGTTGGAAGGATCTGCTGGGTACGTGAGCTGCGTGCGCTGCCACGGCCCGCCACGCGGCGTGCATGCTGCCCCCGCCGCCCAACCGTGCCAGCGCCTGCCGCGCTGCCCCCACCGCTGCTGTGCAGGCGCGCTCATTCACGAGTCAATCGTGATGGTGAGCCGAGGAGGGCCAGGGCCTCCCTTTCTGGTCGCGCCGGGCATGTGGCCCTTCCTTGCTTGCTGGGGCATGGGGCCAAGTGGGGAAGTCCTTGAGCACTCTGTGCTGACGGCCGGCGGCCCATGGGGCCCTCTGCTGCAGACGTCGGCCAGCTGCGTGAGGGACCCCGAAACCGGCAAGGATCTGCCAAAGGAGTATTTTTACCCGCTGGTGAGCTGGTGCCTGGCTGGCGGGCATGGTTCTGGTGAGGTCTGCGGCGTGGCTGCCCAGGTGTCCCGGCCTGGCTGGCTGGCCGGCCAACAGCCTGCGTCTCGGCAATGCAGCAGGCCTGACGATGCAGCCAGGCGGGGCGGATTCAGGCGCCATGGCGGCAGCAGGGCGTCCCAGAATGTGCTGCGGCGACTGAGGATGCCCGACAGCTTCCCCCCAGCATGCCGCCGACTCCTACGCCTGGAGCATGCCGCCGGCTCCCTGCCTGCCTGGCCTGGCCTGCCGAGCTTGCCCTCTCCCCTGCGCCGCCGCCCCGCAGGTGCGCATCGGCGGCTACTACCGCCTGAGCGACCGGGCGCGGGGCTACCAGCTGCGCAAAGTTGTGCAGACGGTGGTCAACCCGGGCTTTGTGACGGGCTATGTGAACGACAACTCCAACAACGACATCGCCCTGCTGCTGCTGGACAAGCCCTCCACCAAGCCGCCCATCGGCCTGCCCAAGTACACGGGTGCGCGGCGGTGGCGGCGTGTGCTGGCGGGGAGGCGCCGCAGCAGGCCCCGGCCGGAAGCTGGGCCAGAGTCTGCGCCCGGCGGCGCTCCAGCACGCTGACGGGAGGTTCTGGCGCCGACATGCCGCTTGTCGACCACCTCCTGCCCGCCTGCTGCGCTCCCCGCTGCCGGTTCTTTCGTGCAGCCAAGCCCAAGATGCCGCTGCCCGCAATGAGCAGCCTGCTGGCGGTGGGGTGGGGCTGGACCTCCCCAGACATCCCCTCAGAGGCGGAGATGCTGCAGGAGGTGCGGAGGCAGCTGCTGCTGCCGCTGCGGCTGGCATCGCCTCTGTACAGTGGCGCCTGCTGTGGTTGCGCCGAGCACAGCACTGCTGCCCGGACGTAGCACCATCCCAGGCGCTGCATCTACCCGCGCGCGACACCCATCCACCCCCGCCACACCCACACCTCTCACGACGCCACCTGCCTACCCCGCCCGCTGCCTGCAGATCCGCATGAGCCTGCTGCCGCTGCGCACGTGCCAGCGGCTGTGGGGCAGGGACCGCATGACCAACAAGTCTTCCAGCCCGCCCATTATCTACAACATCCTCTCCAACTTCTTCAAAAACAACATGCTGTGCGCCGCGGACGCCGGTGAGCAGGCCCCTGGCTGCCTGGTCGCCGGCCCCGACGCCACTTGAAAGCGGAAGCCGAGGGGAGGGGAGGCTGGGCAGCGCCGCCCTCTGCGCTGTGGGCTGCTCCAGGGTGCACCGGTTGGAGGGCTGCTCCGAGAGCGGCGACATGCCTACCGCCTGCCTGCGCCTGCGCCGCGCCTGCAGAGACCTGGCCCCGCCCCTACGGCGGCGCCTGCTGGGGCGACGGCGGCGCGCCCTACTTCCGGCCCGGCCCCAAGGGGCAGGGCTTTGTGCAGTACGCCATCGACAGCTACGGGCCTAGCCGCTGTGGCCGGGGGTCGTGTGAGCCGCCGCCGCTGCTGCTGCTGGGGGAGAGCTTCGGTGGCATGGCTGTACTGGACCACATGCATATATGTGGCAGTGGTGTCTGCGGCGGCATGGATGAGCAGTGGTGCTGCTGCACGCCCCCCAGCATGCCGCCCCTCAACCCTCCACCCAGCCCTTTTCGACCCCGCCGGCTGCTGCAGATGTGGTAACGGATGTGGCGGCGCTTCGCCCCTGGATCGACCAGACGGTGCAGGGGCTCACCAGCAATGAGTGGAAAGGACGCGGTGCGTACCGCCACTGGTCTTGATGTGTATGCCACACACCCACCTACCTGTCCGTCCCAAGCCTGCTGGCGCTGCCTGCTGCCCGTCGCTTTGCGCCCCGCCCCTTGCCGCGGCCAACCACTTGCCCCGCGCATGCATCCGCCGACCCGCAGTGTGGGGTGACCCCAACGTGCTCGGCTTTGACGGCTCCCGCTTCCAGACCACCACCCCCGCCGGCCGTCAGCTCGTGGTGAGCGCCCCGCCTGGCCTGGAGGCCTTGGGCACCAGCCCGCGCCTCGGCTGGCCGAGGTGCCACCTCCGCCCGGCTGCTTGCGGCTGCATGCGCTGGCAGGCTTTTGGTCCCGGAGGCCAGCTGCGACGCTCGCAGTCAACTCAGCGCTGCCGCCTCTTGCCTGAGTTGACTGTTCTGCTGTGTAGATCCTGAACTGCACGGGTCCCATGAGCCTCGTAGCCTCCCTGGCCAAGCACCCTTACCTGGTGAGCTGAGCTGGCGCGGATCGGATGCTGCTTGTGCTCGCATAAGCATGCAGGCAGCTGCCAGGACCGTGCTCCCTGGAAGGCAGCTGGCAAGGCAGACGGCATTGCTCACTGCTCGCCGGCAGGAGGGGGGTGTTGCCACGCTGGGTGGCTACGCGGAGCGGCGCCCACAAGGCTGCGCCCCGCCTGCGCTGCAGCCCAACTTCACCATCATGCGCCACATCCGGTTCAAGTGGGGTGGCGAGGTTGTGGTGGGCATCTGGAATCACAAGACCTATGGTGAGGCGGCGCCCGGAGCTGGAGCCGCCAGCTGGCCGAACTGGCTTGCTGGCAGATATATCTGCCAGAGAGCACCTTGGGTGGTGCTGTGTGGTTGGTGCCGCACCTGGTGGCTGCCAGGGTTGGGCCCCTCTGCTGCTGAACACCCGCGGCGCTCTGCTCCTGGGCGCAGTGACGGTGAACGGGGCCACGCTGCTGCCGGGGCAGACGGTGAAGATTCTTGGCGGCAAGGTCCGGTACCGGGAGAGGCTGGTGAGTATGCAATGCCGGTATCAGACTGTGCTTAACCACGCCAGATGGTGGCAGCCCCAGCCCTCCCTCACCTCAACACCGTGCCTGGCCTGGCTCCCGCTTGCTCTTGTCTGGGTGTGCTCTTCCCTGCCTGCCCTTGGCTCGACACATGCCTCGAACTTGCGCCTTACCTCCCCCTGCTTCCACCCCGCAGGCGCGGTGGAGCCAGTCCATCACCATCGTGCAGCTGAGCATGAGCATCCGCATCAACCGGGTGTGGAGCAAGCGGGAGAAGGACTTTTACCACTGGTTCGACATCTGGGTGTTCCTCACCTCCAAGCCCAGGTGGCCGCTGGGCGGCGTGCTGGGAGACACGTTCCCGGAGATGAGCGTGGCAGCGGCCGGCAGCGACGACCTGGTCGGCGGCTTTGTGCTGCCGTCGGAGGGCTGAAGCGGGCAGAGGAAGGGCAGCGCACGAGCTGCGCCCAGCCTCTGCACTCTGCTGTCAGTTGGAGCACGGTGTAGCATTAGATGAATGTGTTGCGCACATTCAAATTGTTCAGAATAGGTTATGGCTGCTTAACACTGCTTTTTCACCTTTCATCCACATGAATTCCCTTTTCTTCCCCTTCCTTTTGGGAGCGCCTTGGGGGTTGAATAGCAGCGCCGCACCCACACTGTGGCATTCACCAAAGTGCGGCATCCCGCTTCCTGTGACACGTCAAATGTGCAGAGATACGGAAAGTAAGCCTCAGATGACTTGCTGCATGTCTGTCGGGGGCTGTCTCAGAACCGACAAACCCAGCTGGCGCCCGTACGCCAGTGGCGGCTTGCCACATCATCCCCCTCTCTTTCTACGGGCATGCATGCGCTGCTCATACTGCCATTATCGCATCTCACGGCGTCGAAACTGTTTCTTTGGCCCCCACCCCAGCGAAACCCGCCGCCATCGCCTTTGTAGCATCGGCTCTGTGTGGCTGCTTGCCCAGCCGGGCCAAACATCACCCCACCGCTGTATCCCTGCAGCCCCGGCACTGTTTAATTCGCAATTGGATGCCCCAGCAATGCTCAGGAGATCTTCCGGTCACACCCGACCGGCCGGCAAACGCGGCGCTCTCCTCCGCGGGCTGCTGCTACTGCTGGCGGGTGAGTGGGTCGGCAGCAGAAAGCAGCAGGCTCCGCCAGCGACTCACTGTTGAGCGGTCATTTTGGCGGCGGCGGTCACAGGCACACTGCTGGCCGCCGCTGCGCAGCTGGCCTGTGGCAACGAGGCGATGTGTTGTGGGTTGCAGGGCGTGTGAATGGGACGCACAGCTTCTGAAACCAACCAAATCAGGACAATCCAGTATTGGGGGCCTGTGCCAACTCTGTGCTGCACCTGTGCCGCCACCACCATCCGATGCTGCACAGGAGTGGCGCTGGCAGACGGCCATTAAGGACTGCACGGGGTTGCAGTCACGGCGCCCTGCAAGGCAGGGGAATCGTCAACCACCGGCTTCGCTCCCTGCCAGGTGATGCTCCTGGAATCTCCTGCCGCCTGGACAAGCTGGCTCTGGCTCTTGCCACCCAGCTTCGCTCATCCCGCCTCCCCTCCCGTTCCCCCATGCAGAAGTGCCTGCCTGGATTCTTCTCTACCTCTGCCGGGCAGTGAGCTGCCAGGTGTGAATGGTGATGGATGGCATGCCTTGTTGGCTGGCTGTCTGCCCATGCTGCGGCCCTTCCCAGTTATTGCTGCCCTGTTGCGCCTTGCAGGCATGCGCACCCGGCATGTACACCGACAAAACCGGGTCTTCCGCGTGCCAGCCATGCAACCCCGGGCGCTATGCCAATGAAACAGGCTCACTCTCCTGCAAGGTGACCCGCCTGCTGCCGGTGCAGGCAGCACCCCACTCTCGCCTGCTATGCCCGCCTGCCTGCACGTCACGCGGTGTTTGGTTGCCACTGGGGAGCCGTGATGCTCCCTGCCGTCGGCATGCCGGCCGCTTCCCTGCAGCCTTGCCCAGTCAACTTCTACGCCAACATGGTTGGCCAAATTGCCCGCCAGGTAAAGGCGCCCACATGCACACACTGTGGCACCGGCGGTGCTCCCAGCTCCAGTGCCGTTCACTGGCGCAGGCTCAGCACACGCGCTGTGCTGCTTGCCCTGCTGTTGCCTGCAGCCATGCCCGGAGGGCACCCGCGCCGCTGTGCTTGGCTCCAAGGAGTGCAAGGCGGTTGTGGTGGTGAGCGCTCGACAGGCGCTGCACGCGTGAATGGCACATGCCAGCCGGCATGCCCGCCTGTTCTGCTGCGCCTTTACCTGCCTGCGTCTTGAGCTGCGCGCCCACTCTGCCCCCTGCAGACGCCGTGCAAGGCGGGCGAGTTCTCAGCGACTGGCAAGACGCCCAGCCAGGTGCTGGCTCATCCCGGGTGGCAGCTGCCTGATGCTGTTTGCAGCTGAATCAAGCGGCTTGGTCTGCTGGCTAACTGTGAGACGTTGCCCCCCCATGCTGGTGCAGAAGTGCCCCCCAGGCTTGTTTGCTGCCAGCGCCGGGTCAACACAGTGCTACGCCTGCCCACCTGGGTATGCCAGCAAGGCCGGCTCGGTCGCCTGCACCCCATGTGCTGCGGGGCGCTATAACGAAATGATGGGCCAAGCCGAGTGCAAGGCATGCCCGCTGGGCTACTTCTCTGCCGCCGCTGGTGCCACGAGCTGCGAGGTGGGTGCCACAGTGTGGGCTGGCGGCCGGCATCTGAACGAGGGATTGCCTGGCTTGGTGGGTGGCTACAGGTGTCTTGCCGCACCTGCTGTTGCGTGTCACAATGAGCTTGCCTGCCCTTGCATGCAGGCATGCCCACTTGGCAAATACTCCGCCAAAACCGGGTCTTCCTTCTGTCAGCCATGCGCCCCTGGGACCGCCTCTGATTTAGTGGGGTCAGCAGCGTGCCAGGTAGGGCTTGGGCAGATGCGCCAGGTGTCGCTGTGCTGGTGCCTCCCCACGTGCCAGCGCGGTCAGCCTTTGCTCTGCGTCGCTGACTGCCAGCTGTGGGGCCCGCTGTCACCCGCACCCTGCACGCTTCCTGCAGCTGTGCCCAGTAAACACCTACTCAAACTTGGTTGGACAGATCGCCTGCCAGGTGAGCCCCCAAATGCACTTGCACATCATCAAGTGCTGTACCCTTGCATCATATCGGTGCCGCACTGTGTGCAGCCATGCCCGGAGGGGACCAGCGCCGACACAGTGGGCTCAATGGAGTGCAAGAACAAGACAACCACGGTGAGCACGCGGCAGCAGCGGCGGTGGCAGCGCCTGGGCACAGGCCTCCCTGATTCATCGGACTGGGGCCGGTGGGACAAGGCTCCAGGCATTGATGTGTGTACATGTGCCTCTGTCTTCTGCAGCTCTGCAAGAAGGGGGAGTTCTCAGCCAGCGGCAAATCGCCCTGCCAGGTGTGGTGCTCAGGAGCAAAACACATGGATGCGATTCACCTTTTACCCACACTCATGCGAGTCTCCTGTTGGCTTGTTTTGGAGCAGAAGTGCGCCGCTGGCACCTTTGCGCCGGCCACAGGCTCCACAGTGTGCGGCTTCTGCGCGCCTGGCTATGCCAGCAAGGCCGGCTCGCCGATCTGTACAGCATGCAAGCCTGGACGATACGCTGAGTTCGTCGGCAGCACGGAGTGCAAGCAGTGCCCGGCTGGGTTTTACGCGGCAACTGACAGCTCTGCCGCCTGCCAGGTGAGGCCGGGAGAAGGCGGGCCAGGGGCAACCAATCCTTGCGTCCCTGTGCTGGCGCTGATGGCCTCCCTCTGCCCCTGTGCAGCCGTGCCCCCCTGGATCGTTCAACAACAAGAAAGGAGCAGCCATATGCCTGCTGTGCCCATCAGGGAAGTATTCGAGCGATGTGGCTTCAGTCGCATGCAAGGTGAGCGCCCAGACTATTAGTCCATGCCCCTGTTTGACTGCTTGGACAGGACACGCATTCTGCAGGGTGTGGGGCCCAATCCTGCTCGACCCTGCCACTCTGCAGGCGTGCAGAGGCGCACCGGCTGGCTCCTCGTCCTGCCCCGGCGCTTGAGCACTGCCGTCCATAGCTTGCCGCCGTGTCTCAACAACCTACCACTCTTTGATACATGTTCGATCTTCAGAATAAAGTACAGCTCTCCATTCATTGCAACTGTGCATGCACTGCCTGCTTCACCTCTACTTCCGCTGCAGTACCCTTGCCGCCCCGCGGTACAGGTGCCGATGCCGTGGATTTGGGCTGCCACGCTTTCCGACGCCCACATGCGGCCATGCTCTTTCAGTGACTTCCAATGACAGCTCCCGCCAATCGTTGCAGCCCTCCACCAAGTCCCCTCACTGGGTAACCATTTCGCCGCGGCATCGGCAGCAGCAGCGCGAGACCCACCAACCACTGGATACCAGGGATTGCAGGGCAGCGAGTCCCGTGCCGTGGCGGCTTCAGGCAGGCATGTTTCAAAGAATGGCGGGAAGATCGCTTGTTGCGCGTTCTTTGCGCTCACCCTCCCGGCGGCAATGACGGCTCTCTCAGCTTCACACAATTTTGGTCTCAGGCTCCCCGACACCCCGGTTTTCCCGCCCTTGCACGCTGCCCTCGACCTGCAGTTATGACGGTGTGGCTGCTCCTGCTAGCGCTAGTTTCGGGTTGCACAGCCAGGTGGGTTGCCGCTTTTCACGTAGGGGAGGCGCCCTGCGATCGACGCGAGGACGCCACCGCCGCCGCCCGCCGCCACCCACTCTGCTGCTATCGCCCCCGTCTTGCAGGTCGTTGCACGAGGGTGAGGCACATATCAGCAGCAACGGAGACTACATTGCGCCCCCAAACAGGCACGCTGGTTGGGGTGGGTTGGGCTGAGATATCGGTTGCCACGCCAGCGGCGCACCCAATGGCACCGTCGCTCGTGCTGGGCACGCCACCCACGTCGCCGCTGCGCTGCCCTGCGCGCAGGTACCCGTGGGTGGCCTCCTTGAGGGTAGATGACGGCGTGGGGGAGTGGCACTTCTGCGCCGGTGAGTGAAGCTGGTCCCCTGCTTGATTCGTGCTGTGCTCGCGTGTGCTGCATGCTGTGCACAGCCCCTGCTGGCCACACACAGTCTGCCTCACGTGCTACGCACCTGCTGCCACCGCAGGCACCCTCATCGCTCCGTCCGTCATCATGGTGAGCACCGCTGTGCTGGACTGTACTGTCTAGTACTGTCTGTCCTGCTTTGTTCCATGGCGGGCGTGGCGGGGCAGGAGTGCGCCGCTGTGCCAGCGTGCTGCGGCCCAATCCTGCCCACCCGCCCGCCTGCCTGCAGACTGCCGCCAGCTGTGTGGTGGACCCCAACACCGGCAGCACGCTAGACGACAAAATCAAGCTCCCGCTGGTGAGCCCAGCTTGCCTCTGCAACATAGTACCCTCTTCGCCTCATGCCCGGCCTGCCTCGCCGCATGCCAGGCTGCGCCGGGCTGTGGCTGGCGCAGAACGGCTTTGGCCTCGACAGCTGCACCACCCCAACTGGGATCTGCCGCCGCAGGTGCGGATCGGGGGCTACCGACGCCGCGGCGACGCGCCTGGCGACTATGACCAGCGCAAGGTGACCCGGGTGGTGGTGCATCCCGACTTTTCATGGGGCTTTCTGGAAGACACACCCGACAACGACATCGCCCTGATGCTGCTGGATGCGCCCTCCACGCGCCGCCCCATCGCCCTGCCCAGGCACACGGGTGAGGCGGGCGCAGCGCACAGGCAGGCGCAGAGGGGCCAGACCGGCAGGGGGCGTGCACGCGTGGCGGGCATGCACCGGCTCCCAGCACAATGCGCAGAGCTGTGACCATGGCATGGCATGGCACACAGGCGGCGAATGCTGCTGCTGCCTGTTCTGCTGCCCTTGCCACACGGCTGCCACAGCTAAGCCACAGTTGCCGGTGAGGGTTGGGGACGATCTGTGGGCATTGGGGTGGGACTGGACGCCTCGCTCAGAGCTCCAAGAATTGCAGCAGGTGCGCCACTGGCACTGGCCCTTCTGGTGTACATCTTGCTGCTCCTGTTGCTGCTCCTGTCCCTCTGGCCCTGGCCTGCACTCACCCCTTGCTGCACTACGTCGCCCCGCCTGGGCATGCAGACGCGGCTGCGCATGCTGCCGCTGTCCGACTGCCAGCGGCTGCAGAGGGGCGCCGGGGATGGCGGCAGCGAGCTGGAGGTGGGCCAGCAAGGGCCCGACTTCCTTTCCAACAGCATGCTGTGTGATGTGGATGCGGGTGAGCGAGGGCGGCGACAGCACAGCTGCCAGCTACTCGCATGCATGCGCAGCTTGCCTTGTGGGGCTGATCCTGTGTGCGCCCCAAGAGCAGCGCGGCCCTGGAGCGGCCCAGCATCTGGTGTGCCCATGTGCCCACGGGGCGGACCGCTCACCTGCCTGCCTGCTGTCGTGCAGCCAACGGGCCTGTTGCGCCCCTAGTTGGCCCCTGCTTTGGTGATGGCGGCGCCGCGCACTTTGTCAAGGGGCAGAGGCCCGGCGAGGATGTGCAGATAGGCATCGAGGCGTGGAACCCTGAGCCGTGCGGCCCCGCAGCAGGTGGGAGCCCCAGCAGTGGCTAACCTCAGCAGCTGGCCAGCACTCGGGGATGCATGCGCGGCACATCGCAGCCGTTTGGCCCACGCCTGCCTGCAGCGCCGCCGCCGCGTGCCGTCCCCGCGCTGACTGCTCCCTGTGAGCTCTCTTGTTGTGCCCCTGGATCTGCAGGCGCCATCACCAGTGTGGCGTCCCTGCGGCCCTGGATCGATGCCACAGTCGACTTGCTGGCCCAGGCAGCAGGCAGGGATGCCGTCGCAGCAGCAGCCCGCCAGGCCCGCCAGGCCGCTGCCGTGCAGCCGCTGCCTCGACGCGCCTTTGGCGGCGGCACGCTGTTTGGCAGCAAGAGCATGTCAGTATGATTTACCCTCCTCCTGTGCTCTGCTTGTGTAGAGTCCTACCTTGGCTGGTTTTGAAAATTTTCTGCCTGCGTTTACAACGTGGCTTGTACAGTGACGCCTGCAATTTTGCTCCCGTGTGTTCCGAAGAGTCTTCGCTGTCCAAGGATGTCTAACCTGCAAAGAAAGTGGAGGACAAGAAAGCCAATAATGGAAAAGTGATCTGGCTCCTTGTTTCTGCTGTTGTCCTCGCGTTTCACTGCTGACCATTTCACTGCCGCTGCCTGCGACGCCATGAAGGGCCCGGCTCTGTGTCTGGTGCTTGCTATGTGCCTGGGGGTGGGAGTTGCGGCGCAATGGAAGCAGCCAGCGTTCTGCAAGGACTGGGATTGCCCCAAGTACGAAGAGGTCAGAGGCACCGGCGGCCTGTCCGAGGCAGGCCGCCGGCCTGTCCGAGGCAGTCCAAGGCAGCGCTGCCCGCCAGACAGCTGCTGCGCGACGCCGCGCCTGCGCAGCCCGCCGGCGTCTTCATGCTGCACCTGCCCCTTTGCTGCACACTCTTTGCCGCCACTGCACGCTGCAGTCCGCCACTGCACGCTGCTGGCTGCCACTGCCGCCGGCCACTGCCGCCGGCCACTGCCGCCGGCCACGCTGCCAGCGGGCTGCCGACGAGCGCGCGCGCCTACCGCGCTGTCCTGTGCAGGTTGAGAAGGCGGATGGGTATGAGACGCGCAAGTATGAGGAGGCGATGTGGGCCTGGGTGCAGGCCAAGGGCGACGACATGGAGGAGTCTGTGCTGATGGTGAGCAGGGCAGCCTGCTGGTGCAGGGCAGGCCTGCAAGGCCAAGGGGGCAGGGGAGGCCTGTGGCCGCGGCACTGCTGGGTTTCGCCTCGTGGCAGTCTGACGCGGCGCTGGCCGGGGCTGGCGGCATGGCCACCCTGCAGGCACATGCTGAGCTGTTGGCATACTTCAACGGTGCCAACAAAGGAAGTGAGTGGCAGCCAGCCCCGCCTGCAGCCAACATGCCGCCGTCGCATCACCTCGGCACACCCCTAAGGGCAGGTCTGCTGGTGCTTTCTTGGCATGAACGCCCCTGCCTGCCTGCCTGCCTGCAGGCAAGACCATCCCCATGGGCACACCGATGGCCCACAACATCTCCCGCCGCGACAGGAAGGGCGACGTGGCGGAGGCGCTGGGCAGGAAGGTGGGCGGGCTGCCGTCTCGGTGCAGTTGCACTACACTTCTGCGCTGGGTCAGCGCTAGCCCGCTATGCTGCTGTCTTAACGCTGCCATGAGGTCGAGCCCAGCGGGAGTCAGTGCTGGCCGGCTGTGCCCCGTGATGAGCTGCTGCTGCCTGGCTGGGTGCGTGCAGAGGAAGGAGGATGTGGAGGTGACCGTCAAGATGTACCTGCCCTACAAGTGAGTGAGATGCCGGGCGCCAGCCTGCCTTTCTGTTTCACTGCTGGTCCTGTGTACCTGCGAGCCAGCCACGAGCGCTGCCGGCAAGGCATGGTAATGCTGCGGCGCATTCAAGAACAAAGCACGGCATGCTATGCCTACTGCCGCACCTGCAGCTTCCAGGAGGGCAAGGAGGAGGCGCCCAAGCCCAGCAGCAAGAATGTCAAGGTGGACAAGGTGAGGGGGAGGCATCCAGCCAGTATGTTGCCATCTTACAGCTGCGGGCGATCGTTCGAGCCTCTCTTTGGCGCCAGCGCAAATACCTCGCCTGCCGCCAAGCGTCGACCCCTTCCTGCACCCTGGACCTGCCTTTTGCAGTTCCCGGAGTGGACCGCTCACGTGCGCAGCTTTGACGGCTTCCCGACCCGCCGCAAGTAAGCCGGGGGCAAATTTGGCCTGCATATGCACTGCGCGTGTGGATCAGAGGGCTTTAGCGGACGATGGTCCTCTTCCTGCCTGGGTGCCGGCAGGTTCAAGGAGCATGCCAGGACCCTGATGGACTACCTGGAGGTGAGCGGGCACCCCTGGTGGTCCGCCAGTGTGCGCCTCCTGACATTTATTGTTGATGCTCCCAGTGTCGTGACCCTTGCTGGGATGTTTGGGGTGCTGTGCAGGAGGACAACAAGGACTACAGCGATGAGTGGGCCGTGTTCAGGTGCTTGCCCAAGCTGGCAATGGGCAGCAGTTCCCCTGCTGCCAGAGGCGCCAGCTGTGACAATGCGTCCAATGCGCTGATACTTGCCAGTCTGCTGCCATTGATGGCGTGCCGCTCATCTGCCCCCGCTCCTGGCTGCAGCATCTATGACCCTCCGACGGAGCTGGAGAACAGGCGAGCCAGAGCGGAGCAGCAAGGCGGCAGTCAGGCGGCAGGAGCGGCGGCAGCCCAGCGTGCTTTGCCGCAAGCGTTGTGTCTTCTCGCTGATGATTTGCCAGTCTGTGTGCTGAGCATCCCCTTGACTCCTGGCCTCCGGCATCACTGGCGCTGCAGGCACAACGAGGTGCTGTTCCCGGCAGAGGCCAGCCACCACAGGCGCAGCAGCAAGGCCGGCTGCTCCAGCGTCTGAGCAGCTGAAGTCGCCCGGGCACCCCAAGGCCCCGGTCCCGGCAGCATGTGGACATCTCAGCAGCAGCATCTGGCACACCCGCCACTGGACGAACATTCAGCCATGTTGAGAAACCCCCGTTGAGCGCCTCCCGCCCTATGCGGCCATACTACTGCATCCCACCAAGTGCGCCATGCATGTGTGTAACCTGTAGAGACTGAATGCATCGGTCTGGCGGCTGCAAAGGCCGTCACACCCTTCGTTGGCGGTTCAGGTGAGCAGGGGTGTCACAAGGAGAGGTGGGGAAGGATTTCAAAAACTGATTGATGGCGACTGTGGTGCGTAAGGTGGGTGCAGGGCGCAAAGGGGCTACCCGAAGTTGACAGGTCACTCGGTACGAGTAGAGCAAAGAGAGACATACAAAGCCTGGTGGTGCTGGCAGAATGGCATTCCGCTATGATGAGAGGAAGGAGGAATGGGAGGTGAGGTAGCAGTGCATCATGACGTGGAAGTGGTAGCAGTTGTGTTGGCGACCGATCGCACATATGCATGATATCATGTATCTGATAACTAGTAGTACAGCACAAGTACCTGATTTGGCATGTTCATACGATGTGAATGGCTGGCCGCGCACCTCATACAGACCGGCGTAGGCCGACACGCCGCGAAGGTCGCCTCTGGCGGAAAGGCTGCCGCCGCACACGCTTGAGGGACGGCGCCCTGGGAGCCAGCTGCAACTGTTGCAATCTCCGGCATGCCGGATCATTCCAACCCGCCAGCCCGTTGCAGTCGTTGTCGCTGCCAGCTAAGCAGCTGGCGACAGTTTCTGGGCCAGCACGGCGGCACACAGACACCACCGCTGCAGCTGCCGAGCCGGTATCGTTGGAGATGCTGCGGACTCGAACCACCAGGCCCGCAGCGCTGCTGCTCCAGGACTGGCCGCCTGCAATGGAAGAAGTAGGGGGAGGGACTGCTGAAGAGCAAGCGATGATTGGGCTGGTGCATACACAGTGCGATTATGGTGCAGGGTCTGCAACGCAGCGGCGGCAGCGTTCGCACGGCTAGCGCAGCGCACCTTCCAGGGCGGCCTCCCAGTTTGATGGCTGGGCATCTCGGGTGCTGGCGCTCCAGGAAGTGTACACGTGCACTTTGCCAGCCACCTCACTGGGTAGGTCGGCGTCGCCGCCTTCTGCTGTGCGGTACCTGCAGGGGTGTCCGGGCAGCCAGAGAGACTGGACGGGCGAGGGACTGGGAAGGCGCTGCACTCGGCGTGCAGGCAGGTGCAGGCAGGTGCCTCTGTAAGAAGCCAGCAGCCGTCAGGTCTCACCCCAGAAAGATGGGAGGCACACCGCGCACCCATGTGGCGCTGATGCGCATGCCGCTGCAGGCAGGGGGAGCCAGGGGCGACAGCTACTGTGCTGAAAACCACCTCAGCAGCGCTGCTCTGCTGAGATCTGTCACAAGCCAACAGTGGAAGGCACGCTGGTTGCACCTGTGGCTAGTGGCGGCCTGGCTCGCCAGCGTCACTGTCACGGTCTGGCCGGCAGCCAGGGTGCTGCCATTTAACTGCTGCACCTGGAGCCAGCCCATCTGCGGCAGGGCCGCAGGGACGCAGCACCGCTCCAGTTGTTGTTGCCGCTGTACACATCTGCTGCAATCTCGCAGCGGCTGAGCACAGCTGGCGTCAGCTGACGCCAGCTGCCCTCCTCACCTGCCAGGCGTGCGGCGTGTTCAAGCATCTGTTCGCGCAGCAATAACCCATAGCGCATGTGTTGTCATCATATCTGCACACGACACCCAACAGAGAATCTACTGAGGAAGTGAACTTCAGGAGCGGGCTTGCAGGCTTGGCGGTGCAAACGCCCAGACGCAAGCAGTGCCGCCTGCTCACTGGGAGCCAGCACGGCCGGAATGCGCCATGTACAGGTTGTGCCCTAGCTCGTGCACATGCGCCTGGAGAAAAGCGACAGGTGAGTGAGTCTTGCAAATTGGAGTCAGTCGGAGCGGTTGGCATGCGAAGGGGAGAGGTCTCCATTCTCTCCCTGGCCCTCCCACCTGCGGCACTAGAGCATGCTCGCCGCCAACCCAGGAACGGCACTCGTATGTGCCGTCGCAGCCGATGTAGCCCAGCCCAATCCAGGGGCAAACGCCTCTGGGCACGAGATACACCCTGCGCATTCATTCATTCATTCATTCAGCACACAGCCCGGCCGCCTCTTGCTCGAGGGCGGCCCACTTTGGCCTGGGCCGCCCGGGCCGCCCTCCCCCCCGGGCGCATGTTCGGTGTTGGAGGGGTGTGCCCAGCGATAGGGGGCCCCTGAAGGCATGCGCCGAGGCCGGGAAGCGTGGTTCGGCGCTGCTGCACGCTTGGCGATTTGACCAGAACCACGTGCCGCCGAGCTGCGGCCGCAGTTTCCGGCCCACGGTCTACGGTCGCAGCCACGGGACTCGGCGGCACGGCGTTTGGGCCCAAGCTTGCTGCCGCCGCCGCCGTGCCCGGGGGGCAGCGCGGCGGCGGCGGCACGCTGCGACGCCCCCGTGCTGCCGAGCTGCGGCCGTAGTTTCCTGCCAGAAGCCCACGGCCACAGCCACGGGACTCGGCGGCACGGAGTTTCGGTCCACGGCTTGCTGCCGCC